CTACCCAGGCTCTGCCTATGGAGAACAGTGTGACATGTCTGCATCCATCACCCAGGTGATGTGTTCTGGCTGGCAGAAGAGAATGTAACATATCACTGGACCCAGCATTAACATATCACTGGACCCAGCATCTAGGTGATGTATCTCTATTTTTTTTTCCTGGGCCTTGCTTTTAGGGTAAATTGTGACATGTATTTGGATAATGTAACTCTCCTTTTTTATGCCTGGGCAATGCCCAAAGGAAGACTGTGACTTGTTGCTCAGCCCAGGACCCAGGGGATGTTACTCTCCTGCTTGGCCTTGCCTGCCCACAAAAGGCATCGTGACATATCTTTGTGTTCATTACCTAAGTAATGGTAGTAATGGTACTCTTTTTACCTGCCAGAACCCTATTCTTAGGGAAAATCATGACATATCACTGTAGTGAACATGTAGGTGAGGTGACTCTTCTCCCTCTGCCCTGCCCATAGAAAAAATTGTGACATATCACTGAACCCAGAACCTAGATGATATGACTTTTTTCTGTGCCTTATATACTATATATATATATATATATATGTGTGTGTGTGTGTGTGTATATATATATATAATGTGTGTGTGTGTGTGTGTATATATATATAAAATATCACTGGGCCTCAGACCTAGGTGACATGACTCTCCTTTACTACCTGGGCCTTGCCCCAAAAGGGCATTGTGACATATCTCTGGCCCCATCACCTGGGTGAAGTGGCTATCCTCTTCTGAATAGGTGCTGCCCACAGCTGTGATTGTTACAAAACCCAGCACTTAAGTGGTTTGACTCTACTGCATGGACCCTGCCCACAGAGGGCAATGTGATATATGTATGGGCTCATCAACTAAAAATGTGACTTAGTCTGTTCTCATACTGCTAATAAAGTCATACTAAGACTGGGTAATTTATAAAACAAATAGGATTAATTGACTCACAATTCCACATGGCTGAGGAGACCTCACAATCATGGTAAAAGATGAAGGAAGAGCAATAGGCATCTTACATAGCGGCAGGCATAAAGGCCTGTGCAGGGGAGCTCTCCTTTATAAAACCATTAGATCTCATGAGGTTTATTTACTACCTCAAGAACAGTGTAGGTGAACCAACTCAGTAATTCAATTATATTTACCTGACCTTGCTCTTGACATGTGGGGATTATTAAAATTCAAGGTGAGATTTGGGTGGGGACATGGACAAACCATATCACTTTTATCTCCTGCCAGGGGCCTGTACATAGGGGAGATTTTGACACATCACGGAACCCAGCAACTTAGTGATGTGACTCTCCTGGGACCTGCCCTAAAAGAGAATGGTGACATGGGTGATGTGACCCTCCTCTCCGGCCTGGACTCTATCCTAAAAGAGAATGGTAAGATATCACTGAGACCAGCACTTAGGTAATGTGATTTTCAACGTCTACCACGGTACTATCTACAAGGGGCAACGTGACATTGTGTGGGGACAATCTCCTAGGTTATGTGACTGTTCTGCATTGGCCTGGCTTAAAGGGGGAATTGTGACATATCTCTGGGCCTACCACCTAAGTGATGTGACCTTCCTCACCTGCTTGTGCTCTGCCCAGGAAGATTTCCATGTATCTCCGGGCCCAGCACCTAGGTAATGGGACTCTTCTGCCTAAGCACTGCTTACACCAGCCATTGTGACATATTCCTAGGCCTAAGACACAATGATGTGACTTTTCACTTCTGCTTGGGTCCTACACAAAAGAAGCATTGTGACATATCATGGGGCTCATCACCTAGATGATGTAATTCTTTTGCTTAGGCTTTGCCCACAGAATAAATAGTGACATATTGCTAGGCATAGCACCTAGGTGATGTGGTATTTCTGCTTTGGCCTGTAGCACAGAGGGCACTGTGACATATTGCTGAAGTTAGTGCTCAGGAGACATCACCCTGGGCCAGATCTCAGTCAACAGGTGGATTGTGACATATTCCTTGCCTGACACGTAGGTGATAGGATTCTTTCTTCCTGCATGGGCCCTGATGTCAATGAGGATTTCGCCATATTGCTGGGCCCTACATCTAAATGATGTGACTCTGCTGCCTGAGTTCTGCCAAAAAAGGCATTGTGACCTATCCAATAGGCTAGAACCTACATGATGTGACTTTCCTCTCCTTCCTGAGCCCTGTAAATATAGTTAATTGTGAAATACTGCTTTGCACAGGACCCAGGTAATGTGGCCCTGCCACAGAGGAATTGTGATATATTGCCGAGCTCGGCACTGAAGTAATGTGACTTTCTTGCCAGGACCCTGAATGCAGGGGGTTACTGAAATATTCCTAGACCAACATTCAAGCAATGTAACTCTCCTGTCTGGTCTCTTCCCACAGATGGGATTGTGACATACCTAGGCCTAGCTCACAGGCATAATCAGACCCAACTGATAGAAAAGACTTTTACTCTAATGGCTAAAATAAGGGGAATGGGTAAGGTCTTCTGTTTCCTACTTGTAATGTCACAGAAGGTGATGATACTCATGCATATCCTCTAACACCTTTGGGTGACACAGAGAGTGTCCTAACAGGACCCAGCACATGGGTGAGATTGTGCATCCCATAGGCACACCCAGCTAACAATTAGAACTGTCACTCTTACACATGGACATGGTCCAGTTGAGTTGTGAATATCACGTGTAAATTCAGCAATGTGATGATGGCTCATTTCTGGACCAAGCTCACAGGTGCAATAATGACTCTCATACTTGAATTTAGCCAATAGAGAGGTGTTGATTTTTGTAGCTGGGCTTATGGCATTGGGTAAGATCCTGAGTCTTCTGCTTGCAGAAAGTTCTGAGATTACCACCCTTATGCATATAACATAAAGCCCTTAGGTTTCACAGTTTTATAACGGGACCCCATACAAAGTTGACATTGTGACTCTTCTGTGCACACTCAGCTGACAGGATTATCACCCTCACACATGGACAGAGCCCACTGCTGAGGGTATGAGTCTCACTTGTGGATACAGCTCACAGGTTGTATTGTGACTATAATATGTGGATCTTACCACAGGTGTGATGTCTTATTTCTGGATCCAGCTCATAGGCACAGTGATGCCTCTCATACCTGGACCCAGCAAAGAAGAAATATTGAATCTTGTAATAGGATGTTGTGAGTATGTGTGTTTCTTGAGCTTTGAGAAATTGACTGTAAATATTACAGCTTAATAAATGTTATATACATAAATGGCATATAAATTAAAATGTAAATTATACATATTTAGAAGGTAGTTATTTTCAATTGCTTAAAGCTCACCTGATCAGTCAAGGCCTATCTTTTTCAAGATCATGCTGAAATTGCACCTGCTTGGTTACAGTATCTTCTGGGGTGAAATGACCCTTACTGAGAATGGTCAAAATAAGAAAAAAAAATTTTGGCACACAAATCTTATATGTAAAGAAGACAGAGCTGTAGGAAAAAAATGCTCAGAGAAGGATAAATATATCAATTTTACTACAGTTATTTTTAAGAAAATAAATGCTTCAGAGTCAAATAAAATTTATTTAATTAAAAATTGCAAATGCAAGGGTGAATGAAATTAAAGGCCTCTGACTTTACAAAGTTTACATTGTAGAGTTTGGAAAATAAAGACAATTAGGTAATAAATAATCCCTCATATAGTGCTGGTCGTATAAGTTGGTACTACATTCTGGAAGAGGGCTTGCCTGTGCCTACAAAAGCTGAAGATAGAAATATATTTTAATTATATTTATGGTAAAATATCTACATAATCACACAAATTTATCTTTAAGAATGCATAAGATGATCTATAGAAGCACTGAAAAATCTGGAAAATTACCAAAATGTTCAGGAACAGCTGAATAAATTGTAGTTTATTTATATGATTTATATGATGTCACATATGATGAATAAATATCCAAACCACAGGCAGCAACAGAGATCAGCCTCACAAACAATGGTGAACAAAAGCAGCTGGCCAAAAATGAGACCTTATTGTATTTATTTATTTAGAGTTCAAAAACAGGCAAATATTATTTATCATATAAAAAGCCAGGATATAAGTTTCTCTTGGTGGAACAGTGATTAAAAAGGAGAATAAGAAGGGAGAGTATTCAGATTATTCACACTCTGGGTTCATGGTATATACATTTTGTAAAAATTCATCAAACTGTTCTTTTATAATTTATGTGCTTTTTAGGTATGTAAAATTAAAAACAAAATTTGTTATTTTTCTATTTTAAATTTTTTCCTCAGTTTTTGTCACATACTTTTCTAGAAAAACAAAGGTAATTTTATCTAAATTTTCAAATTTAGTAACATAAAATTTTTATTTTATTTTTATTTTTTATTTTTTTTTTGGGGGGACGGAGTTTCGCTCTCGTTACCCAGGCTGGAGTGCAATGGCACGATCTCGGCTCACTGCAACCTCCGCCTCCTGGGTTCAGGCAATTCTCCTGCCTCAGCTTCCTGAGTAGCTGGGATTACAGGCAAGCGCCACCATGCCCAGCTAATGTTTTGTATTTTTAGTAGAGACGGGGTTTCACCGTGTTGACCAGGATGGTCTCTATCTCTTGACCTCGTGATCCACCCACCTCAGCCTCCCAAAGTGCTGGGATTACAGGCTTGAGCCACCGGACCCGGCAAAATTTTTAAAAATATGTTTAAGTCTTGAATGTATCTATAAATGTTCTTTTGTCTTTTGTAATGTTTTTATTCTTTTAGTACAACTTTTTTAATAAAGATAATTACAAAAGATAAGTCAGCTCAGAAAAGTCAATTACTTCTGTAATAGATTTTTTCTGACATAACTCACATAAATTTTAAATACTATCACATAAAGCATAGTGGAGAAAAGAAATTTTGCTTCATAATTAGAAAAACTCATAATAAAACTTGCCAAGAAAAACAAAAATAAAAAAGCCATTTGAAAATAAGTCCATGTCAAAGTAGTATAAAATGAAGCCAGAAGTCTTCAAAAACAAAAAAATTTCTTTCAGTATTTTCTCTTTTTAATGATTTTATGAAATTACTGAGACTGTCAAATTCAGGGGTTAATGAGCTGTTCTGATTTGGTGCCTTTGATATTCGTTTTTTCACCACTCGTCCTTAGTTTTATCTTCTTCTTTAACATCTGCTTTTTTGTCCTCTATTTCTTATCGTCTTCAATTCTAGCCTCCTTTGCTCCTTTCTTATAGTCAGCCACAGTTTTTTGACCTCCTTCTCCTTCATCCTCAGAATCTGAAAACTCTTCATCACAAGCTTGCGATGCGTGTCTGATGCTCAAATAGAAGTTCTCTTGTCTGGATCATCTCCATCTTTATCACCACTGTCTTCATGAACATCTTCTGGAATAGCTTGCATCTGGACAGCAGGTGCATGAGGTAATGTGCAAATTTCCAGAAAAATGCTGTTTTATCTTTTCCATATATTCTGGAGTATTCTGGTTTGTCATGTTTGAAGCATTAATACGCAGTTTGAAGTCTGGTCCAAAATACTCTAATCATTATATGGCAACTCACTGAAAATCTCACAATCAAGGGCAACAGCAGTTTCATATGTCCAACATTGAGCAACACAATGAATTGTGTATCCAACTTCTTCAAGCATCAGTAATGGTAAGTTTAAAATGTTTACCACTTCTACACATTTAGCATGACCTTTTACTGTTAGATCAAAACCACCCAGTCTATCACCAGATAGAGTCTGTACCACACTGTAATACCACAGCATTAGGTTGATACATCTCCATCACCCTTGAGATAATAGGCTTAAATATCTGCCCATATAACTTATCATCTATACCATCTCTTATTGGTAAATTGACAGCATAGTATTTGCCTTTTCCTGCCACAAATATCCCTCAAGTCTCCTGAGCCAGGAAAGAATTCCCCATATTTATGGAATGATACCTTCATTTACATGTTCTGTTGTATAAAAAGCTTCTTCAACACCATCACCATGATGAATATCTGTATCAATATATATGACTCTCTGATGATACTTTAATAATTCAAGGATGGCAAGCACAATATCATTAACTGTTGGGGTTCACTCAGGATGGTGGCAGAAATATTAAAGTTATAGAATATAGTTACAAACCCCTTTGGAAGGCCTAAGCGTTTTTTATTACTTGGCTGAAGGCAGCCTTGTCCCTTTAGTCAAATAATTAGATAAACTCCCACATTCTAACTAGCTTGTTTACTCATGTAACCTTTGAGCTAGATGGCCCTCTCAGGAGGAGGTCGACCAGGGAGGTTATCCTTTAATGGTGTTTGCTCTGGGCATCAGTAAATGAGCTTTAATCTTTTGAAGAACTGCTCTCTTAACCATGTTAATTATCCACAAATGTGTTTACTCAAAGCCTTTGTTGTCAAATCTATACTGAATAAATGCAAGGGAAAAGAACTAGTGGATGTCGTGTAGCTACTATCTCACTCTGTGGGAAGCACATGACCCCCTACTGCACTCATTCACTGTACTCTCTTTATTCATCTGTTGCAGAATCGGGGTCTGCAGGACAGACCCCCACAATTAACAGAATCCTAATGCTTCTGATTTCTTAGCATGATGTAATCCTCCAGCCCAATTAACAGCCATGTCAGTCTGTTGTCTGTTTAACTTCACGGCCCCAGCAACTGAACTGCCAATTAAGAGCTAACAAAACTCAAGAGTCCAATAACACTGGACAATCTCCAACATTAAATCTCTCCATCTCCTTACTATACTCAGACATGTTATCTGATATTACTGACCATAGAAATTTGATATATTCATCACTGTGATATTCTGTCATTTCCTTGGCAGTGGCTTTTATATATTTCCATTTTTCTCTATAAGACATAATTTAAGAGCAAGTTATGGGTCATCCAGATTCTATGAGGCTTCGTGGGATGACTCTGCCCATAATAATAATTTACAATATTATCTCATTGCTCCCTTCATGACTGCCTTGTTCATCTCTCTTTGCAGATTACATCCTTTGCTTCTTGAATCCCCATGCAGAAAATATGGCTACCAACAGCTTCTGAATTCACCTTCTCCTGCAATTTCTCCTGACTGGCTTGTCTAAATATGTTACCAGTGGAGGATGTCTAGGTTCTTGGCATCTTGAATGAAGAAAGAATTGAAAAAATGCACAAAGCAAGGAAGGAATGAAGAGATTTACAGAAAATGAAGGTATACTCCACAGTGTGGGAGCAGGCCTGGGTACAGGTGTTTTTATTGTTCTTAATATAACTGTATCTACTTTGTTATTACATTCAAACAACAACACGGATTTCACTGCCATGTTATTATCTCTAAGTAACAGAGGAATCAGAGAGGTTAAGAAACTTGCCCAAGGTTACACAGGTACTCTGAGACTGCTCTTCTAACTGTTAAAGACACTAATCTAACCCAGGAAACATAAATAAATACAATACTACTTCTAAAGGCATATAAAATCACCATAGCTATGCAAAGCAACATGGAAAAATAGGAAAATATATATATAATAAAAAAGCAAGGCATAGATAACTTATGCTAGCATATACATATATATATGTGTCAAAAAAAAAAGGCAACACTAAAATGTGTATTGTTCATAGATAAAATTGCGTAAATGATAACACAAAATTCAGATAATGGTCACTTTGTGGTAATAGGCCTGTAGAATTTAGAGGTATGTCTTTTTAAGACTGTGTGAGAATTTTATGAAGTCAGACTAAAAGTTTCCTGAGAGTAGAGAACAATGCTTTCTTTTGTTTCTTTCTTTTTTTTTTTTTTGAGACAGAATCTCGCTCTGTTGCCCAGCCTGGAGTGCAGTGGTGCAATCTCAGCTTACCACAGCCGCCTCCACCTCCCAGTTTCAAGCAATTCTGTCTCAGCCTCCCAAGTAGCTGCGACTACAGGCACATGTCACCACACCTGGCTAATTTTTGTTTTTTTAGTAGAGGTGGGGTTTCACTATGTTGACCAGACTGGTCTTGAATTCCTGAACTCATGATCCACCCACCTCAGCCTCCCAAAGTGCTGGGATTACAGGTGTGAGCCACAGCACCACGCCAATACTCTCTTCTCTTAAAGAAAAGGTGGGTAGATCACGAGGTCAGGAGATCAAGACCATCCTGACTAAAACGGTGAAACCCCATCTCTACTAAAAAGAACAAAAAATCATCTGGGTGTGGTGGTGCACACCTGTACTCTCACTGAGGCAGGAAAATCACTTGAATCCTGGAGGGGGAGGTTGCAGCAAGCCAAGATCTCACCACTCCACTCCAGCCTGGCAGAAGAGGGAGACTCCATCTAAAAAAAGAAAAATAAATCCACTCAAAATAAATTAGACACTTAAATGTAAGGCTTGAAACTCTGAAACTATTACTACAAAAAAAAAACCACAAAAAAAAAAAAAAAAAAAAAACCCATAAAATTGGTTGGGAATGACTTTCTGTATTTAAACTCAAAATCCCAGGGAACAAAAGGAAAAATAAGAGAATACTTCAAATTAAAATGCTGCTGCACAGAATATGATACAATCAACAGGTTAACTAAAAAGTGAGACAAGGGGTTAATATCAAAAATATATAAGAAACTTAAATGACCATACAACAAAAAAGAAGACACTATTAAGAATGAGCAAAAAGCATACATTTTTTTTTTAAGAAAATACATCTATATGACAAACAGATATATTTAAAAATGCCAAATGTCAATTCTTATTAGGGAAAGCAAGCCCACCCCCCACAAAAAAATATCGATTATATCAACACACTTATTAGAATGACTTTTACAAAAAAAAACAAACAAAAAAAAGGCCAGGTTTGGTGGATCTTGCCTGTAATCCCAGCACTTTGGGAGGCCAAGGCCAGTGGATCACCTGAGGTCAGGAGTTCAAGACCAGCCTGGCTAACATGGCCAAAACCCATTTCTAATAAAAATACAAAAAATTAGCTGGGCGTGGTGGAAGAGACCTGTAATCCCAGCTACTCAGGAGGCTGAGGCAGGAGAACTGCGTGAACCCAGGAGGTGGAGGTTGCAGTGAGCTGAGATTGCACCATTACACTCCAGCCTGGATGACAGAGCAAGACTCCGTCTCATAAATAAATAAATAAATGAAAAAAGCCTCAGTTGGTAAAGAAGTCAATAAAAAAATGCTTGCACACTGTTGATCTGAATGTAAATGAGGACAGCCATTATGAATAACAAAATATAGATTACTCAAAAAAACTTAAAATCGGCCTGGCGTGGTGGCTCACGCATGTAATCCCAGCACTTTGGGAAGCAGAGGTGGGTGGATCACCTGAGGTTGGGAGTTGGAGATCAGCCTGATGAACATGAAGAAATCCCACCTCTACTAAAAATACAAAATTAGCTGACGTGGTGGCACATTCCTGTAATCCCAGCTACTCTGGAGGCTGAAGCAGGAGAATTGCTTGAACTTGAAAGTTAGAGATCACACCATTGCACTCCAGCCTGGACAACAAGGAGACTCCATCTCAAAAAAAAAAAAAAAAAAATTTATAATCAAACTACTATGTAATCTAGCAATTGCACTATTGGATATATATTCAAAACAAAATCAGAATGATGAAATATTTACACTTTTATGTTGTTTGCAGCACTCTTCAGAACAGCCACATGATACAATCAACAGTTCAACATCTAATGAGCAAATAAAGACAATATGATACATATGCACAATGGAATACTATTTATATTTAAAAGAAAATTCTATTATTTTCAATCACATGGATTAACCTGAAGGGCATTAGTTATAAGAAGCCACAGAAAGATTAGTATCTCATGATTTCACTTACGCATCGATTCTAAAAAACTTAAATCTCATTGATGTAGAGATCAAAATGGTGACCACCAGATGCCAAGGTATTTAGAAAAAAATGGGGAACTGGAAAGATGTCTGTCAAAGAATACATAATTATAGCTGGATAGGAGTAAGTTCAAGATTGTACAGCACTGTGACTATAGTTTATAATATTGCATGTTATGTTTGAAAAATGCTAAGACAATTTTATGTGATCTCACCACAAAAATGTTAACCATGCTTTTCACGCCCTGAGCCCTGGAGTAGGCATTTCTGGCCATTCATACAGCAGTCAGTCAGTATTTGGTTGTTAGATTCTGTGTACTATGGGAACCAAAGGGCGCTGCTAGTATGAAGCTTATGAGATTTTTGACAAAACTGAGTCATGAAACTGTAACCACTGAATTGAAAAACAGAAGATTCTGCCTAAAAATGTGAGTTGTGCTATATCATAAAAAATTAACTTTATGCCAGGTGTGGTGGCTCACACCTATAATTCCAGCACATTGGAAGGCTGAGGCAGTGGAGACCAGCCTGGCCAACATGGTGAAACCCCGTCTCTACAAAATACAAAAATTAGCCAGGCATGATAGCAGGTGCCTGTAATCCCAGCTACTCAGGAGACTGAGGAAAAATCGCTTGGACCTGGGAGACATAGGGTGCAGTAAGCCCAGATTGTTCCACTAGCACTCCATCCTGGGTGACGGAGTGAGACTCCATCATTAAAATAAATAAATAAATAAATATGGTTCACTTACCATAACTCTCTTTAAATTTGAATTTCTGTGATATATTTTCTAGCTGATTTTTATATTCGTCACACACACTTTGGATAAGAATCTAGTAAGACTTTTCTCTTACAAACAATATTTTTTCTTTTTGCAAACAAAGACGCACCATGCTAACTCATTTAATCCTCTTGGCTGTGGACAGTGAATGCCTTTTATCTTAACTGATCTGAAAGTTGTATTGATAAGCAAACTCTCCAGTATAAACCAGTTTTTCAGTGCATTAAAAAATACCAAAGTTCTCATCAAAACCCACAAAATACCACGTAAAATGACACAGCATGAAGAAAACAGTGAAAACTGTAGCCATAACACAGAAAAAGAAGGGCTATGATGTATACCTTGCTGGAATATACATTAAAAAAAAATAATAATAATAATAATTAGGAAATAAATGAAGCAGAATTCCCTTTTAAATTCAGCAAAATTCAAAATTCAGCTTTGCAGCCTCGAAAGAAGTCCTCTGAACATGAAAAACCAATGTTATTTGTTCACCTTTGATATTTTCTACCTGACTTGAAGTTACAAAATAATTTTAGCAGGAATCTTATTATGGAGCATCTGTTACACAGCAGGCACTGTCATGTTTGTTTGCTACATTTATGTATAAAACTTTCTCATGACTTACACAGCTTCCCTAGTAATTATCTAAACAAATTGGCACAATCAATAATCATTAAATGTTTTTACAGAATAAATCCAGTTTATCTTTCAAGATAATGTATTTTTAAAACCTTTTAAAAAGATAATATTTCAAATATCTCTTTGCCATAAACTTGGCTGAATAGTATAAAAAAATAGCTTTTTTTAGCCAGTCGACGTGGCAGGCGCCTGTAATCCCAGCTACTCAGGAGGCTGAGGTAGGAGAATCGCTTGAACCTGGGCGGCAGAGGTTGCAGTGAGCCAAGATTGTGCCACTCCAGCCTGGGCAACAGAGTGAGATTCCTCTCAAAAAAAAAAAAAAGAAAAAAAAAAAAGTTTTTGTGCTGTTTTTCTCATGTGTCAGTCATAACCATAGGCACTTTGATACTTGACAGCATGTTTTAAACCCAGCACAGGGCATGAGAGGAGCCCTTGGCCTCCCAAAGTGCTGGGATTACAGGTGTGAGCCACCACACCCCGACCATGACTAAATTTAATTAAACTCATTCTTATCATCACAGAACAGCTCACGTAATTAATGCTTCATAAACTACAAATCTATATATATATATATATATATATATATATATATAAGTAAGTTATGGCCGTAGCATTAGTACAAAAACAAGTAAAAACAGAATTTGTATGGGGAGATTCTGAA